CCCTTCAGGTTACGTATTGTTACTTCAACTTTAATAATTAATGATCTTTATCTCTCTGATATCCCATAAAACATGCTGCATTGAATACAGGAAAATACTTGTACACTGGGGTTAAATGGCCATTTACGAAGGTACTGCATTTAGTAAGTTTGTCTATAAATTTATATTTCAGGTATTATTGCTGTTATAAGTGTTATACAATACTCTTTATTTCTTTATTTAGGGACTCAAGTTGAGTTAATTTATTGCAAATATTATTTTTAGAACATAAGGTTAGTTACTCCTAGTCGATTTATTTTGTTCTTGTTCTGGTTCTAGTGTTAATAATTTTCAGTGTTCCAGGGCGTTCAGAAAACCCACTCCGAATCTGCTCTAGAGTCAAACCTGTTCTGATTCTAATTAAAAAACCCGTACCTGATTGTAGCAAAGCGTTTCACTTCTGTCCTTCTTGTTTACTTTTATATTTTAGGTTGTGCTGCTATAGGTCCGTAGAAGTTTCCTGCTTTCGTTATATCGGTTGACTTCGTGTACTGCAGGGAAAAGCAGGTGGCGCTCTATATTTAATTATTTAATTGATCCACACCCCTCTCCGCATTGGAAGCTAGTCGGCAACCCTTCATACGAAATCCCGTTTCTAGATTCTAGCCACCAACTTTTTCTTTCTATTTTTTTTTGTTTTAGTTACCCATTCACTGTCTAACTTCCTCAAATCTTATTATTTACTCTTCAATCGTGGTTTGACGGGTAACAGCGTTCTGTTCTCAAGTGTATCTATTGCTCTTCGCTTATGATAATCTGGAGTCGGTTTTGACAAAGTCTGTGAGTATGTTGTACCTATTGAAGGCAACTGAATGGTTCACTGCTAATCAATTGAACCTAAATCAATCAAAAACAGAGGTGCTCTATTTTGCTTTGCGCTTTCTCTCAGATGTTGAGTGTCCGGAAGCAGTTAAGTTTCTGGGGGTGCACGTAGACTATAAACTGTTATAGAGTGTTTGAAAGGGGCAAGCGACTAGGTATATAGGATCCAGCTTGACGAATTTACGACCGTCCGCAGCCGTTTGAAAACCTGTCGCTGTCGTTCGTTTGATGACTTTGACATTCGTTGAATTTGTTCACTTCAGTACGTTCTATGATACAGACTTAAGCCCGGTCCAGAGACTAAGATACAGACTACTGATCACAATGTTTGCTCTGCAACGTGTTGAACTGTGCAGATAAAACATTGTGCAAAACGTAGCGTCTGGACGATGTAGATAGCTGAGCCTTTGTTATCAATAGAATTTTTTTCGAACCGAAACAATCATCATAGCAAAGTCTAATATGATAGTATTTTTTCCGTTCTTAGGAAAGAAAACATTCCAAGCGTATAATTTAGTGAAGCAAATGTTCAAATAGTCCTCGTTCTTGAGCTAAACAATGACCTACGATCAAGAATGCTCTACGAGCCTTATTTAGCATCACAGGAGTGATAGATGATCTCTCGAATTTTGAAACCTAGCTTTTTCAGGTTCAAAACATAAATTTTTGTCTTGCCATAACCACCGAGATCGTTAGGTGTAAGATCAGGAGAGCGGGTTGGCTACAGTATTATAGATCTTGACGCAACAATAAGACGGATTTGAAAATTATTATTTAAATACTCCAGAATGAAACCCGTATTATGGGTTGGACAACCTTCTTGTTTAAATCGTGTTCCATTAAATCTAGGACCAGCTTATCTTCTAATTTCTGTTTGCCGCTGCAAAAGATTCATATATTTTGGACCAAGCAAGTTACCATCAATAAATTACGGCCCAATAACATGTTCTCCATACAATTACCTTCTGAGGACGGTGGGTTCTAAGTTCAAAATACCTATCTAAATTTTCTTTAGACCAATTACGGCCGGGACTAGGATTCTGTCAACCATAGAGTTGAAATGTTGATTCATCTGTAAAGATAATTTTTCTATGGGGAAATCTTCATTTTCATTTGCCTTATTCATAACTCTATTCGCCTGATGTTGTCCTCAGGATCAATTTTTTGGGAGTTTCGTACTTTGTACGAATGATACTTATTTTTTTTTTTCAGTAGCCTACTCACCGTCATACTTGAGTCAATCTCAGCACGAGTCGATTTAGTTGAAGTTTCGTTAGGTGACTAATTCCAATAACATAATTTCTTTTGCTTCTTGCTTCTAATTATTTTCCTGGACGTTATGGTTTCGTGGAGTAACGCACCCGTATTTTTGAAAATTGTTAGCAACCCTAGCAGTGGCAATGCAGAAAAAAATCTATCGGATAATTTTCTCCAAATAAATGTCTAACTCGTTGCTGTGACTTGAGCCGCTTTCGGGTGCTCCTAAAGTCTGCCAAGCGACTCTATGTCTACGGGGCAACAGTAAGGGAAATGCAGTTGTAAAAAAAAATGGCTGATTTCATTCATAAAATACCCAGCTGCGTGCGGAACTTTTTGGAAGTGTTATCGTATTGCAACTCGTACACGAAAATCGACAATATCCAAACCGCCACTGGATATTTCAATATAAATCGATATTCCAAGATGGGAGAATAAAATGACAAGAGCCCTGGCCAATAGCAGATACGTAAGGTGACGTTAGCCCACTGACAATTGCATGGTTCCCTGTGGCAACGGTGATCCTGCCAAAAACTCCACCAATCAGGTTCATCTAGGCCGGATCCTTGCCAAATTGTCAAAAACTGATGGATTCTTTAGGAAATGTGTATTTTTTACAATAGACAAAATTGAAGAAATTAGTTATTTAAATAAGCATAGATCTAACAACCACGTTGAAATATTTAGCGTTTTATTGTTATCTACATTTTGTTATTAAAAAAAAGGATTTTCAAATCAAAACCATACTTCATGCTAATATTTTCGCTTTTTTATAACTAAGCGTGGCAACATCGCACATTTATGTCCGAATTCCTTCCGTAGACTCAGAAACGCTGGGCAAACAATAGAACTCTTTACACCTGTCAGTGACCTGTCATACTCCATGCGTTTTGCACTCGAACGCTTGGAACCGAAAGGGTCAAACTGTAGCCGGAGTACTTCGGAGTAACTCGGGAGCGCTCAAAGGGTGTCACCCGAAAGCAGCTTTGGTGTAATGAATGCTTTTTGAGTGACAGGTCCTTCCCCTTGGTTGTTTCTACCTGGTTGTCACCAGTTAGCGCTAAATAGATGTCATTTTGCGGCATGCGGACGCCTGCAAATTCGTCAGATTACATCCTATATACCGAGTAGCCTGCCCCTTACTGTATATCTGCCTCTAAAGGCTCATCCTCAATCAATTTAGTAGCGAAGTGGCACTTCGGCACGCAAGCTAGGGAAATGTTGTTTAACGTTAGCATCCCCAATTCAATTCCGTGCTGGCATGCACGTCGACTCTGAAGTGAAGGTTGCAAGCTGCCAGCTTTTTCGATGCGTGCCAACTTATGTCATGCGCAGTACAGTAAAAAATAATTTAGGTTATCCTTGCGTTCAGTATTTTGCTCAAAGAGCAGAGCGGAGCCGTAATCACGTGAACAGCGAGCGCACAGAGCAGTTAAACGCTGATTCACAGGCCTCGAAATTTTATTAAACGAACGTGAATGAGCCTGCACCGAGTACCGAGTACACTTTTCGAATAAACGAACGGTAAATTCATGCTCAGAGAACTCAGATCAAAATACCGAATGCACGGTATGTGACCAATGTTGTTCAAAGGGCACAATTGTGCCAAAAGTGGCACTTTTCGCCCACAAAATGCACGGTGGCAGAGACTGCAGCTGGAGCAGGATTTTTTGTTTATTCCTATTCTATTGTATTTTTTGTTCATTTTATTTCTATTTTCTGTGCTAGTGTCCTAAGTCCTGATCTGTGAGAATTGTGGTGGATCTGTCACTTGTCATCTTGTCATTGGATCTGTCAACTGTTAATTGTCATTATAGTGAATTTAATATATGAATTGTATTAGCTGCTTCCGTTTTGCCACCCTCCTTACCTAACTATTCGCTAAAAATTTGACCTAAGTATTTTTTTAAATAGAACGCTACTACCAATACTCCGTAAGAAAAAAGACAAAGAAGAGAGATAACATAACCTTATCAGTTTGATTTTGTTTTCACAACTAAAAATACTTGGATGTTTAGGCGCACTTTGAATTCTGCTACATTATTACTCCTTAATTTTGTTAATTATTGTTTCTTCACCACAGCCAAAACTGTCAAAAACATCGAAATTTTTCCCTATTTGAGGTTAGCGGTAACCTTGCCATCGGCAAGGGGGGAGGTAAAAATCTGACCAACCTGAATTTAAGAAATAATAAAACGAACGCCACGCCAACTTAGGTCAGAATCTCAAAGTTAGCTAAAACGGCGTGTAAAACGAAAGCGACTATTATATTTTACTCCTTTTACTCACGTAATAAAAAGAAATGGGTAAAAAGTCAAAAAATCCTCTCTCAGTCCCATCACTTTTGATTAGGTGGCACTATTTGGCACTATTTGAGTGTTGCTGCAGGCACACACGAAAATTCCTCAAGAACAACCCTGTATGTGACCGTACTACACGCACAGCATACTGAAAATTGACAGCATTGAGGATGGGTATAAATTTTCCAGCACGCGTGCCAAAGTGCCACTTCGCTACCAGATTGATTGAGGATGTAGCTTAACTCATATGATATTATGTGCGATGAGCGCGTTGACATGCTAATCGATTGCAGCGTGTATTCCGCTAGTTTAATTTTTTTTTAATGTCTATATGTGTTATTAGAGAGATATTGGGGAATCTATGGCCAGGCGGTTATAGTGCTGGGCAGTATTTTGACACTTTCGACACTTACGCATGCGCAGAGAATTTTAGTCCTTGTTTCACTCTGATTTGTACTTATGGGGTTTTGTCTTGTCCAGTTTTATGTTTAGTTGCATTTTCGGGAATGCATTCTGGAAGTTACAAAGACCACCATACATGGAGAGGTACGTTATACTCGGTGCGGTTCTTTTTTAGTGTTCTTATGGTGTATAGCTGATCTGTGGTTCCAAAGCATTTTCTGAATTCAACCTGTTCGACGGGTTGTAGAGCTGTGATACTGAAAATATTGGTCGGTAGTTTTCAATATTTGTATTGTCTCCCTTCTCGCATATTAAGATAGTTTCGGAGTCATACCAATCTTGTGGAATCTTTTCTTCGTCAAATATTTTATAGAAAAGAATCTTCAATATGTGCACTGTTTTTCTGCCGCTAATTTTCAGCATCTCTACTATAATTGTATCCTCTCCTGCACAATTGTTGTTTTTTAATTGGTTGAGTGCCATTCTTGTTTCTGAGTTCGCTATTTCTAGTATTTTCTCTGAGCCTATGTTAAATATAGATCTTTTAATAGTTTTAATTCGTAGTTGTTGTTGTGTGCGTGGCGAGTGTGGCATGGTGTAGAATTGTTCTATATCTTTGTTTATTTTATTTCTATTTTGGACGGTTTTACTAGTTTTTTAATTGTATTACTTTTGTTCTGCCTCGTGGGTTTTTTGTTTTTAGTTTTCTCTAATTGTATCTTTTTTTATCGTGTTGGTATAGTTTTTCATTGTCTTCTAATTTCCTTTCTCACTTCCATGTTTAGAGTTTTAAAACTGTCTGATGTCCGATCTGTCCTTTCTTATCCTCATATTTATTTGTTGGTGTTAGTATGAAAGGCTCAGCGGAGAACAACTTGGAGAGAAGAGGATCTTTAGTTGGTCTTAAGCCATTTGTTGCAAATCTGCAGAGTCGATATCCAAATAGATTTTTTTTATGTGATCTGCCACGCATCTCACTTATAATCTTTCAATATTCTTTATTCGCGTTACCCGCTATTCTAATCCTGGTCGTGATAGCTTTTCTTCGTCAACGTAATATTTTATTTGTGATTTTGTATGATTTAATTTTTCTTTTAAAACGGTTTAAAGAAATATCAATGCTAGAATCTACTTAAACAGAATTTGCAATTGCCTTGATATTCTAGACATGGGGGGAATAATAACCATAGTTCGTTTGGTAATATTCAGCATGAGAAAATCTATTACTACGGGTATTAGTAATGCGGGGAACAATAAAACCAATTTGGGATAGTAATTCAGGAGACTATGTACAATACCATCTACTAACTCAAAAATAATGCATAGGTCTTGCTGATTTCTTCTATGTTCAAGAGTTTGCAAGTTAAATAATTTTAACAAGTTATTGTAAGCTATGGAATCATGGGAGATTCCAATTTTGAATGCAATGAATTGTAAAAATTTTCTTTGAATCTTTTCAATTTGATATTTGTGATTCTTATAGAAAGAGGACCAGACAGGACTTGCATATTTTACATTTACTAGGTCATGAGCGCGCTTCGCGCGCTTTTTTTTTAAATCAAGTCCATCAAAATAATTATAAAATGGAAAATATTTATTAGGTGTTGTACAAAAAACAGCATAATTTTTGATTTAAATGTACATTATACATTAAATGTAACAGTGAGATAAGTTGTATAGATGTTATTCTAGTGAAGAAATTTCAAATGCGATGGATGGAGTTGGTGACTAATTATTTTTGTATGGTATATCATAATGATTTTAAATCGATCACATTTCTTGAATGTACGGTGTGCGTATGTCTACTTATCTCATTCTGTTTTATGGAACTCGTAGGTGTAGGTATACATTATTCGAAGTGGTTTATTTAAAACAGAATAATCATAACCATAATCAAGGTGTTATTATAAACCGAGTTAGTAACTATTTATGTGCTGTGGTATAATACGAGATATCGAGTCTTAATTTTTTTTTTACATTTTCATGAAGTTCCTTTTTTTTTATTAGGCCAGTTATTGAAGTCTACTCGATCAACATTTTACTGCAAACAATCGAAAAAAAAAATTTTTTAAAAGATTTTAAATTCAATTGCTCAATTATTCAACTTCATTTTTTGTTTGTACCTACGTGGTAGACATAAATTTTAAATGTGATCAAAGTAGTTGGTGAATTATTACTTTTGCGGTACATCGTAATGACTTTAAATCGATCTTATTTTTTGAATATACGGTGTGCATATGTCCAGTGCAACTTATTCTATTTTATGGAACTCGTAAGAATCCAAAGTTTAAAGAGTGCTAAGTCTTCATGTCGTTCTTCGTTATTTTCAATCATTTATGTTTATCGTGTTCAGGTTTTTGTCTTGTGATCTTCAAATATCTTGTAAATAAGTTGTAAAGATCTTCTGAAATCACCTATGACTGCGAAATTTCAAAATTAAATTATCAAAAAAACAATTCTTTAAAAACATGGTTTTTGACAACACTATTGCCTCTTTGTTTCCCTGAATAAAGTTTGAATGAGTCCCACGAACGAACTCTGAAAAGCGCCACATAAAGTTGTCCGTGACTAATACATCCTTTCTGGAGATCAATTACTATCCTATCAAATGTTTGTCCTTGAGATTTGTTAATCGTAACTCATTGCAAAGGCTAATTTTATTTTAAAATTGTCTTTGTTTGAACGTAAAGGGGTAGACGTTTTCGCAGTAGAGTGTTATTCGATTTATGAACACTATTTCTCCCTGTTTATCTACAGTCAATATCTCACAGCGTAACAGATTATCCCCAAGTTCCAGAACTAAAGGCCTTGTACCATTGCAAAGGCCTGCACTGATGCTTAGATTTCTAATAAGCATACAATAGAATTCGTTTTCAATCGTAAATCATGGAGCGGGAATTCGGCGGATTAAGCGAATTTAAATATTTTGGAAGAATAGCATCATTTAGATCACTATTATCACAGTTCTTGACACTATCTATACTGGTGTAGAGTTTTTCGGTCTTGACGTCCAACAGTTCGACAACTTATTCGTTTATTTCTTCGACATCAACATTTCTTGCAGAAAGTATTGCAGATTTGGTCAAGTCCCTGAATCTTCCTTCTTTTAGTATTGTTCGTCGACTTTTCGTATGAGGAGCGAGGGGGTGAAGCGAAAACCAGGGGTGACCTTAGGTACCATTGGCGTTCAAATGTAGGGTGCCACCAGCTCACATTCCTTTCGAGTATTAGATTAAAATCGACGGACTTTACTTCTCATAGATGTTTTCAACAATATCCGAATTATCAATACATTTCTCCGACAATTTTAGATTGTCGTTAGAATCATTTAGTGTTCGTTATCGCATAAAAATGGCTCAATTTCAGCAATAAGTGCTTAATATTGGCCTTTAAGGCGGCAACCGTTCGAGATTTGTCAACATAGACTTTGGATTTTAGAATGCCCAGAGAAAAAAATCCAGTGACGTTAGGTCGGCCAATTGTGGATTCTGAAGGACGATCGTTGACATCATAAATTGCACGGAGTGCACGAAACGTTTTCCGAATAGAACATTGGTTTTGATAATGATAATAATTTTTAACAATTCCGACGCGTTGCTCAATCGTGTAGCGCTCCATAATAAAATGCAGAGACTAATTGAATACGGCTGCCAAAGATAGCACCTGTGTGACTATCGAGTTTTTCATGGGCTATTGTCAAACATCGAGCGTTACTATTGGAAAACCCTATACATACCTAGATTCTTCTATTGGACCTCGAAAAAATATTAAACCACTTCCTTGCTTTGAAAAACAACCATCTACAGAGCAATATCTAATAGCACAGCTAATAGGCATATTGTCAGAGAATTGTCACATAAGTAACAAATTCACAGTCCTTCACAAAGATGCAACCGAGGAGAACATTGAAAATGCCGAAGCAAACTTCAACGCTAATGCTTGTGATTATTGTGAGCTTTGAGATCCGCTAAAATTCAACCCTTTCCAGATTTTCCAGAATTTTTCCGACCCAATCCAGAAATTTCCATGCGTTTTCCAGACGTTTCCAGAAATTTCCAGACTTTATCCAGATTTTTCCAGACTTAGCTAGACTTTATGCAGACTTGTCAAAATTTCTCCAGACCTTATCAAGCCTTTTCCAGAGGTTTCCAGACATTTCCAGACTTTCCCAGACTTTATCCAGACTTTTCTAGACTTGGCTGGATTTTTCCAGACTTTATCCGGACTTGTCTAGATTTCTCCAGACCTAATAGAGCCTTTTCCAGACGTTTCCAGAAATTTTCTGGCTTTTCCAGACTGTATCCAAACTTATCCAGACTTTTCCAGATTTAGCTAGACTTTATCCAGACTTGTCTAGATTTCTCCAGACCTTATCCAGCCCTTTTCTGGCCTCTCCGGACTTCTCCCAAACACTTTCCCGACTTCAAATACACTTTTCCAGACTTTATCCAGACTTGTCTGAATTTCTCCAGACCTTATCAAGCCTTTTCCAGACGATACCAGAAATTTCCAGACTTTTCCAGACTTTATCCAGACTTTTCTAGACTTGGCTAGATTTTTCCAGACTTTATCCAGACTTGTCTAGATTTCTCCAGACCTAATAGAGCCTTTTCCAGACGTTTCCAGAAATTTTCTGGCTCTTTTCCAGACTTTATCCAAACTTGTCTGAATGTCTCTAGACCTTATTAAGCCTTTTCCAGACGTTTCCAGAAATTTCCAGGCTTTTCCAGACTTTATCCAGATTTTTCTAGGCTTAGCTAGATTTTTCCAGACTTTATCCAGACTTGTCTAGATTTCTTCAGACCTAATAGAGCCTTTTCCAGACGTTTCTAGAAATTTTCTGGCTCTTTTCCAGACTTTATCCAAACTTATCCAGACTTTTCCAGACTTAGCTAGACTTTATGCAGACTTTATCCAGACTTATCTAGATTTCTCCAGACCTTATCCAGCCCTTTGACCTCTCCGGACTTCTCCCAAACACTTTCCCGACTTCAAATACACTTTTCCAGAACTTATCCAGACTTGTCTGAATTTCTCCAGACCTTATCCAGCCTTTTTCCGAAGTTTCCAGAAATTTCCAGGCTTTTCCAGACTTTATCCAGACTTGGGTAGATTTTTCCAGACTTTATCCAGACTTGTCTAGATTTCTCCAGACCTAATAGAGCCTTTTCCAGACGTTTCCAGAAATTTTCTGGCTTTTCCAGACTTTATCCAAACTTATCCAAACTTTTCCAGACTTAGCTAAACTTTATCCAGCCTTATCCAGACTTTATGCAGACTTGTCTAGATTTCTCCCGACCTTATCCAGCCCTTTCCTGACCTCTCCGGACTTCTTCCAAACACTTACCCTACTTCAATTATGTATAAGTAATTGCCTATCTATGAGTCGGCACTTAATGTATGCAAAAGCGGTAACAACCTTGAACTAACATAAACATATCGATTTTATATTCCGATTGCCTTATTTGCATAATTAAAGCGGTGACAACCTTGAACTAACATCTCGATTTTATAGTCAGACTAGGTCATGAGCGCGCTTCGCGCGCTTTTTTTTTAAATCAAGTCCATCAAAATAATTATAAAATGGAAAATAT